AAGCTAGGTTGGGGGTAAAGTAGTCTTTTTACCCCAAGCATGGACTTATCGTTATGTATTGGAACCCACTTATTAATTGGGTGTCGTTTTGATGTTGACAGTTCCGGAATCTGTCATCCAGCAGCTAGAGTTTATCCGCAGGACTTTAGCAGTGTGAGGTGAGTTACCTTCCCGGTAGAAGTGGATCTAAGGCACCAAGCTCGGCCCACTAGCAGGAGTTTGTAGTTAGATGATTGTCTTTGTGATAATTATCTGGTATGCCGCTATATGTTATTTTTTATGTGCTAGTATGCTATGATATTGTGTGGTAGGGATAGGGGTGAAATAGACCCCGTATCCGGTTGGATAGACCGAAGGGGAGGCCAACACCCGGATATGCTCGGCAGTATTAGGTCGGACAGACCGAAGGGGAGGCCAGCACCCATATATGCTCGGCAGTATCCAGTCGGACAGACTGAAGGGGAGGCCAGCACCCATATATACTCGACAGTATATCGGTCGAACAGACCGAAGGGGAGGCCAACACCCAGATATGCTCGGTAGTACCCGGTCGGACAGACCGAATGGGAAGGTCGGGCACCCAGATATGCCCGACAGTATGTGATTATGTGGTTTGATGGGGGAACTTACTAATCTTTATGCTTACGGTTTACAGTTTTGGTTTCAGGTACTTCTTCTTCGAGAGGAAAGGAGCCGGCATGATTGCAGCACATCACACTATGTTTTCCACACATGAGATCTTTGGGATTATACTCTGATATTATTTTATGATGACATGTTTGATTATTGATACACTGGGTTTGACATGGCATGATATTATGGATGTCTTTATACTACTGGTTTTATAATAACTTAATTAAAAATGAAATTTTTGGTCTTGAATTTTGGATGTTACAAGTTGGTATCAGAGCCCTGGTTTGAGGGATTCAAACACACTCTTGGGTGTATACGGACTCAAATCTAGGGTTTGAAAGATTTTCATAATGAAAATAATTTTCTTTAAAATATAAAACTAAGGGTTTTAATTAAGAACAAGGGGTGTGATGCGTGCAATCGGCCGAGCTCAAGTAAGTTTTCCCTATGATACCCATACATGTTATAGTATTATATGAATTGTGAATATATGAAATGCATGCTAGATTACGACTAAGGATCTAGGAAGGATACCTTGTATGCCTACTATATGAGCTTGTAGACCTACATGCTAGTACTGATCAGTCAGTGATAGGATGGCCTGTTTAGGTTATGCCTGATTGTATGAGCCTTTGAATTACATGATAGTGCAGATTCCTGATTAGAGGATAGAATGGCTTGATGGAGTATGTTGGTTAGATTTTCCATTGTCTGAATGTTGCTTGCTTTGTGCTTTGTGGGACTCTTAGAAATATGAGCTAGCTACTAAGTGAATATGCTAAGTCACATGTGGCACAGGATGGATAATCTCAGAGTGATGGACTTGGCCCTATTGCTCATCTCTCGTTTGAGTCTAACCGTTCTAGGATTGAGTCTGTTACTCGAAGGATTATCTGATATCTGTTGCATGTGGCTATATTCATGAGGTAGCTAGTTGACATTAATGGGAATCCTTCAAAAACTGAGGACTGGGTGGGTTCAGGAACCTAGGAAAGCCTAGGATATGCTTCAGTGGGTTAGTAGTGCGGTTCGAGAGTTTTGGGTGCATCAGTTTGAAGAAGTGATTTAGAGGACCCTAGAGGATCGCTGAGGAAAGTATGGATAGGTGTGGAAGGTAGTATTTGGCCCGTACTACTGAAAGCACAGGATCCATACTCGAATCAGTGAGAGTATTGGAGAATCTAAGAAGCTTATGGGAAGGAGAATTATGGGTTATGCTCTGATCGTGGGGATAGTTGCTTGTCAGATGAGGATGAGCACACATGGGGAGGGACCAGGGTTGGTCTCGGCTCCGGTGGTGAGCCAGTTAGTGGAAGGACTGCCCAAGGATTTGAGTTCGCGTTGGATTAAGGAGATGGAACGTGTTTTCCGTACTAGTCCCTACCCCTTAGGAACTGAGGTTCGGTTTGCCTTGGATCTCTTGTATCGGGGCGCAAGGATTGATTGTGTGATTTATTGTGCTTTTGGGATTGGAGGTTATGTCTTGGGAGGAGTTTGTGACCCGGTTTAGGACAGATGTTGTTTCAGCGACTGCAGTTCAGCATTGGATGATTGAGCTGGTGAGTGTGCAGGGTGCGAGACCCTGAAGGATATGATTTCTAGAGCCCGAGAGGGGGACACTGATTTGGAACCCTTAGGAATGTGATCCCGATTCTAGTTCCAACTCAGTAGCAGGACCTGGGCCAATCGATGCACGATCGCGGGAGTTCATCTCATCAGAGATTACCCACAGAGTTTTGAAATGGACCTCGGTGGTCTTACGTTCATCCATGGGAGGGATTTTGGGAGCCCTCGGTTGTCTTATCAGGGCCTTTTGGGCCGAAATTGTCGCGGGGCAGTTAGGGGCTCATCTGGAGCCCAGAGCCTGTGGATTTCTAGAATCCTTTAGGAAGGAGGATTCTACTGTTAGTTCCTGTCATCGGGATCAGAAGGGAGTGTTGCACCATGTCCTCACAATGGTCGAGGTAACTCAGGAGGAGGTAGTCAGGATTCCTTCCGAAGTTTGCGGGTATGTCATCTTCTGCTACTACAAGGTGGATGTCGGGAAATTGTACCACTTTAGAATTTCGATTGAGTTTGAGTAAGTTAGATCTCAAGTCGGTTCTCTGCCTAGGTTATCAAGGACTGTTATATGCCATTCTGCATGCCGAGAAGTCTCTGATGAATTTTTAAATGGACGTATCTTGTGGAATGGGTTCTGCGTGTACTGTTACCATTCTGGATCTTTTTCGGGATCCGTTCAGGAGTATTATTTCGAGGATCTTTGGTCAGGAGTTGGTGGGGTGGTTCTCCAGTGAAGCCATGGTTCAGTGCTTCTGTCATCTATCCGGGTACGATCGACATCTGCCTATGGAAGAACTTTGGAGTTCAAGGAACTATCGTTGCTAGGAAAGGAATGGTAGCCTGAAGATGGTGGTGCCAGTTGCGTGAGTTGTTTGATCATAGGATGTGTCCAGGGAATCATACCTTCGTGTGGACTGAATTCAGTTAGAGTTCAATGATTCCTTGAGGATAGAAATTAGAGTAGAGATTCGTCAGAACAAGGCAAGAGTTATGGTCGTTAGTTGTTAGCATAAGAACTTAAGGAATTGGTATGGTAACATGGTATGTGATTTGGATTATCGGACTGTTTAGGTCTCAAGAGTACTTTTCCGGATCCCAGGAGTTTATTAATCGTTGAGGTTGGCTAGTGATGGAGCACTAGTTGGTAAGCCCTAGTTGTCATCGGGTTGATTGTTGTAAGGTAGGAGGGATTGGGAATCCTTCAATTCTCGTGTGCTTTGGGAAATTAGTCAATTCAAAGTGGGGAGAATCATTCAGGTATTCAGGAGCAGGAGTGCTTACAAAACTAGGATGAGTTTTGCATCCCCGTCAAGGAGGAGGGCGACCTAAGTGGCTGCTTGGTTTGAGGGTTCTATGAGTTGGGAGTTCGGTAAAACTTCCCAGCATGTGAATCACGTCTTCTTGGTGCTTGATAGCAGAATTTAGGGAATCGGGTTGGGGTTCCGGTCATGAATTGAGTTCATTTTGGGCGTTCGGTCAAGTGCCTGCTCGACTCTATGTGCGGTTGTGTTAGGGCGAAAGTGTTGTAAGACTGTGGGGGTAGCCGTAGTATTCACAAGCGGTCAGATAGTATGGAAAGTGTTGTAAGACTGTGGGGGTAGCCGTAGCATTCACTAGTGGTCAGATAGTATGGAAAGTGTTGTAAGCCTGCGGGGGTAGCCGTAGCATTCACTAGCGGTCAGATAGTGTGGAAAGTGTTGTGAGAGTGCGGGATGACCCGTAGCATTCACAGATTCTTTAAGATGATTAGGCCAGAGTGGGCCAGTTCGTAAGATTATGGGTAGAACACAACATGCTTGGTATCAGGAAACAGCAGGTCGTTGGAGACCGGGCATGATGTAAGACTACAGTTATTCAGGTAGCGTTCACTTTTCATATTAGGTTCGATGGCAACAGGTAGTCGGACTATTATGATTAGGAAGATCAGAAGGAATAATGGAGCCATAAGTGGAAATATGGTTAGGGCAGACTTCAATTACCGAAGTTCTCTTCAGAAGTCGCGTGAGGCGACTGTGAGGTTGCTCTTGGCTCAGCAACCGGGCAGGAATTCAGTATTCTGGATAAGTTGAGGGCCAGGGAGGTCTCGGTTACCATTGGAAAGCAGATAGGAGGTAGCGTGATGTTACAGACTGTAACAGTGATCGGGGGATTCATATGTGTGGAGTAACTTGTGGATTGAAAGTGTTAAGTCACTTGCAGTTTGGATTAAATAATCTTAGCACTACTAGAAAAACAGCCTTTTACGACGCGCAATGCGTGTCGTAAAACGCTCAGACGACGCGCAAATGCGTGTCAAGGAAGGCCCAGTCATAACGAGAGACGACACGCTTTTGCGCGTCGTCTATTTACGACGCGCATCTACGACCCGCATTTATGACATGCATTTATGACACGCAGTTATGACACGCAATGAGTATCAAGGAAGGCCCTGTCATAAAGGAAGACGACACACATTTGCGTGCCGTAATCTTATGACGCGCGTGTTTATGACACGCAATGCGTATCAAGGAAGCCCCTGTCAAGAAAGGCCATGTCATAAATGAAGATGACACACATTTTTGCGTATCATAATTTTAAATGTTAAAAAAAATATTATTTATAGATTTACTAATTTTCAAATTAAATTTGCATTTAATGTCTCATAACAAAAAATAAAATACCATATACAAAAAATACAATCCATTGCATAAAATTTAATGTCATACAAATAATCGATCCATGGAAAGATAAAACAAGTCAATAGAAGTTGTTTTCTCCCTATACATGATTATCACATACTAAATAACAAACTTTATTTCATATTCATATATATGATTACATTATTCATTAAAAAAAACATATACCTACATCTTCCCCTAAAATGTTATTACATGATGCAAGTTGGCCACTTCATTGATGGATCACCAAGAGGAAAACCAACAACTGCCCTAAAATGTTCCATGATGTGCCCATAATCATGTCCTGTAACTTTAAACATTTAATAAAGTAAAATACCTCCTAAAAATAAAATTGCACAAGAAACAACACATCATAATGAGAAATTACTAACATGAATGGAAGTACACTCTAAATTTGTTTTACCAAGAGTGGCATGGACGATCAGGTGCTACAAACTTTGTCCAAGCTGCCAAACAAAGACTGCATGCAAACCAAAACATACATACACTATAAATTTAATTACCATACAAATCATATTCATACATACGAGTTTGTTTTACCTTTTTTGCCTCATATCTTTATTTTTTTTATTCTTATTAGCCATTGAGTGTTGGTGTTTTCTTTTCTCTTGTTCAATCAACCCTTTGTTTTACTTTGAAAAATTAACAATTTCCCTCCCAGTTGACTCTGCATCAAACAGAAAAAAGTAAGTCAATCAATCAATGGTCAATGGTCAATACCAACTATAAGTTTTTACTGAAGTAACCTGACACCATAAATACTTTGGTTTAATGAACAGGAACATGTATGTATAAAAATTGCAATTGAAGTACTTTGGTCTAATACCTCCATTTCTACTAAGTGTCCAATCATGGTTTGTGAAGGTTGAAGACCTTCAAACAAAAAACTCCCAACAATGTCATTAATGTGCATCTTAAGAACAGGAAACCGTTGTAGTTCATGCACTAGACAACTATGCTTGATCTGAAATATTTCCCAAATATTTATTTATTCTGAATTATAAAAAAGAAAAAGAAAAAGAAAAAAAGATAATACCTTTACTAATTCATTATATACAAGTCTAGCACATTGAAGACAATGATCCAACAACCGAGCTATTTGTCTTCGAACCAAAACTTGAAGTGGAACCTATATATATGTATTAAAGGGTTAAATTATTAATATAAATAAATAAATAAATAAATAAAAATTTAAACCTCTGGAACGAATAAAGCGGATCTAGGACCAGTTGCATTGTGGATTGCAGTGTGGATGTCTTGATCAGTTAATCTCTCAAATGGATCTACTTCCTGTGACAATGACATATGAAATATATATATATATATATATATATATATATATATATATATATATATATATATATATATATATATATATAGAGAGAGAGAGAGAGAGAGAAATAATAATGAACATGTTTCTAAATATTATTATTAGAAAAGCTGTAATGAACATGTTTCATATGCTTTTTCAAATGGGATCCTTCTCCCTCTCCCTCTCCCTCTGGTAATTTCCTCTTCAAACCTGATCCTCTAGATTTAATAAAACATAAGACTATCAGTCTATAACCTCAACAATAAAAACAAAACAAATTATTATTAAAATCAAATAATGATAATACAAATTGTTACAAATTATGGGACAGCAGGGTCTTCTTCTATGATGGCATATAAAGCATCCCTGCTGCAAACAGGGTTCTTTGGAATTTCCATTGGTGAGGCAGAGGTGGGAGCATCAGAGAGTGAGAGTGTAAGGCAAGCAAGAGATGAAAAAGAGAGGCAAAAAAGAGAGCAGAGTGAAAGAGAGGAGATATTGAGAGATGAGCAGAATGAAATCCTCTTTGCAATCCAGAAAGTTCAAAATTCTGTGGATGTCCTTCCAAAGACTATGTCCAATGATGAGCTAAGCAAACAGGTTCCACAATCGTTCCAAAAAGTGTTTGACCTGATAGACGACTTAAAAGGTTCAAGGTTCGTAGATGAAGCTGGAGAAGATGATAACTTGGTGATAACAGAAACTTCGCCTTCTCCCAAGATAGATGTGGTATCCAAACCTCAACAACCTCCTCCACCTCCAAACACCACAATTCCTCCCATTGAATGTGAGATTCACGAATCACCACAATTCTTCTATGATGGCATATAAAGCAGCCCTGCTGCTAATAATTGTTACAAATTGTGGTGCACTTTTAGAGCCATCAGTATCATTAGCAGTGTTGTAGGCAATGAGTTACTTACCTGATCCGTGCGAGATAAATCAGCAGCAAGTTGATCATTCACCATTTCCATCTGTAAATTTGGTACCTGATATAACATATATCAAAGGTTGAGTAATAAACCAACTAAATGATATCTCAACACTAACAAAGTATCATGGAAAATAAATAAATCAACCACACAACAAGGCTTAAATATTGAGAATTAACATGGTTCCACAATTAATGATAGCATAACTAATAGTCATGCTCAATGACAATCTAGATATTGTTTATTTTTTTACTTAATGAGTTATGAGTACATGACTAAATGCATGTGGATAGATAAGGTTGTTTCTTTTTTACTTAATAAAATCAAAATGACTTGTCGGGCTAAGTGAGAGGTTGGTCACCTTATGTATTAAGACCCTCCCTATTACAATATTACCCTTGTTTATTTTTTTTTATTCAACTTTTGACAAGCTCATATACATGTTGAGGTCGAGCAGGACTACCTCCAAGAACCAAAATGACAGCCTCAACATGTGGGATCTCACTGAAGACCAGTTTGAGGGCAGTTTCGGCATTACTGATATTGTTCATCAGCTTTTGGAGCCTTTTATGCCATGTTTGACTTCACTCTTTCTTCCATTTTGAACTCTTCGTTGAGATGCTTTCATTTCTGTCTCTGCAAGAACTACCTCCTGAAAAGGAATTCTTAAATGAAATCATTATCTTTAAAGTTATTTATTAGTTTAAGTAGTAGCTGAGTTATATATTGTAGCAATATAATGATATGCTTTCATTTTCATGTATAGATTTCTATATATCTTCTGACTAGTTCTTAACTTGCAACTAATTTTTTGATTAAAATAATCTAACTGTCAAATTAGCATAATTACACGAAGGTCCGATGAATCTATGATGAAATATTACTTAATTAATTTTCCAACAAGACAGATTGACTCTTTGTGATATAAAAAAATCACTGATAAATTTAGAAACAAGTATTCAACAGTTATTAGTCCAAATATTTAAGATGTGTGTACTTTCGTATAAACTATTTATTTCTTTTATCAGTGCTTGAATTGCCAAGAAATTGCAGAATTGGTCATGTAATTGTGTCAGTTAAGTATCTATCTATACCTTTGACAAACTTTATGACAAACATAAAGTTGCAAAATAGAGATGGAACTGGAACCAGAAATATTCACATTGTTGCACTTGTAGTCCTTTTCTCTTTCAAAAAGGCAGCTCTCTTCTGCTCTCTCATCTACATCATTCAAACCAAACAATCAATGGGGGCAAATATGTAAAAAGTCGAGAATTAATGGGTAAAGCCTAATTCGCCAGACTTTCTTTATTATGTCATTCTTTATGATTCAATTCAAAAAGGAACATTAATATATGGCAAGTTCCAGTAAGATAATCAAATTACCATTTTGTTACGTTGTAATCGAGCAGCCCGAGCTCCCTTCGTGGCATTGCGATCAGGTTTGTTGATCTTGCATCATCTATTCTACATTAGTTCTCCCTCAATTCAACTCGTTCTCTCTTATTTTCGGATACAGGTAACACCCGTCCTACACTAAAACCTTGACCAACTGTAATTTATATCTGGTTCTCTCTAATCTTTCTGATACAGATGTAAAGTCTTCAGTTTTCCAGATTTGTTCTCTATTTTTGTAATCTTCCATACCATCACAAATTGAATTGTAATCTTTTCAAATTATATAGATCCAGAGGCTGGGATTGAGGTAAGGTAGAACTACAATGGTTATGGTTGTGTGTTGGTGCCGAGATTGGGATTTTTAAAAGTGGGAATTGTGTCCATCCTATTAAATAAAATACCTAAGAAAGTGTTTGACATGACTTGTAATCATACCTTGTAATCAGGCACTTTCACATACTCTAGAGACACGAGAAGTATGTTTTGTGTACCTGAATGATACATGAATCAATCAGATTAGTCAATATAATTAATGATATATTACAAAGAAGAAAAATCGAGAAAAAAAGAGAGAGAGAATAGAGGTAGTCGAGAATGAGTAGCTGAGATTGTCCAACAACTTACCTGATGGAAGAGACCGCGGGAGCAAAAATAAAGACATCTTCGGACAATGATGGAAGATGGAAAAGAGGTGACCATGGGAGATGGAAGTGATGACGAAGCAAAGGCTGTAAAAACTAAATAGAAAACTAGGGTTAAAGGAGGATGAATTAGAAGTACGAAATAACTAGTACTAGAGCTTACTGTGGAGGTTTAGTTATCGTAATCCAAGTATATGGCGGCTCCATCATCGAAGGGTTTGGGCAGAAGACGCAAACATGAAAGACTGCCTGAAGCTAATATCAACCATACGACTTCTTGATGCTTTTGAAAACGTGAATTAAGGAGAGGAGGAAACCTTGCTGGGCTTAGAATCCCTAGTTCTTCGTCATCGAGCCCTCAATCGCAATGATTTTGTAAGGTCTATTTTTGGGAGCAAAAAACCCTCAATCTCAACAATCTTGTTCCGCCTTAAGATTTGACGAATGTGAAAGCTAAACTCCATCATCTCCAAACGATTCCATATAATTTCAACCCTTTGTAATAGCTACTTCAGTTGTTCTATTATGTCTCGTACCCGTCGATCATCACCAAAAACCCGAGTACGTACTAAGTCGATAGAAAAATGAGAGAATCGGGATTTTAGGGTTCTTCGTCTGTATGTTGTTTTGATTTATCTGTGGGAAATCAGAGACAAGTAGAAACGAAGGAAGATGAGAACAAAGCGGGGTTTTCTAATTTTTGGGGATTTTGTTTCCCGCTTAGCTATTAAAGGTTGGAACGCGCGTTCCATTAAAATTTATAAAGCGACATCCTTAGACGACACGCATTTTATTATAGGTGCCCTCCGTGTTTTTTTTGTTTGTTTAGACACTAATTTAAGGGCGCGCAATAATTCGTGACCTAGATCCTTAAATTTTTTGAAGAGATGACACTTTTTTAATGTCACACACTTTTGCGTAACATAAATCAAGGAGCGTCGTGGTTTGCGCGTCGTAAAAGGGTCTTTTTCTTGTAGTATAGAGTAATTGATTTGACCCTGTTACGCAGCTCTCGTCTGAGTGTAATTGTTGCAGGGATGGATCTTCTACTCGAAGGATTATCTGAGCCTGGGCCAAGTATAAGTGATCTACAGGGATAATTAGGTTTGTGATTCTGTTTTCCAATGAGAACCTCCAGTTAAATTGTAAAGAATCTGGAAGGTTGAGGGTTGTTTGGTAAATTATGGATTTAATTTGAAAGGGATTTCAGAAGTCAGGGTATAATTGGTAAATATTGGAGCTAAGTTGAAAATATTTTGGGAAGGAGGGACCGATTGTGTCAAGATGTTATGAAGTTTTGTATGGAGTCGGGGTATATAATGTTGGGTTTTAAGCACTATAACACTCCTATGGTGCACATGCAACCCTAGATGCTTTGGAACTATCTTTTCTCAAATTATACATGCATTTTTCAAATTTCCAAAGCATATAACTTAACAAGCATACTACTGAATCATAACAACTAGTTAGATAGCTTACCTCTTGTGTAGTTCTTGGCCTTGGAAACTTTAGCACCTCAAATGTAATGCCTCTAATTTGTTACAAACACCAAATACAAAGGAGGCTTAAGATAATAAGACTTGTAGGCTCAAAAATCGGTTCTACACTCTTAGTGTGATTGGCTTAGCCGATTTTTTACTCAAATAGGTTCTTTATATAGTGTTTCAAACTCTAGGGTTTCATCCATGTAACTAGGGCTGTAAACGAACCGAACGTTCAGCGAACTGTTCGTGAACCGTTCGGCGGGAAGTTTGCTTATGTTCGTTTATTTAATAAATGAACGAACATGAACACAAATTCTCGTTCATTTAGTTAAACAAACGAACATGAACAATGGTCTTGTTCGTTCAATTATGTTCGTGAACGTTCGTTTATGTTGTTCGTTTACGTTTGTTTATGTTCGTTCATAAAAGTTCCTTTTTGTTCATATATGCTTTATTGTATTTGATCACATTACTATATTATATGTTCATTTATGTTTATATATGTTCAAAATATGTTTGTTTATCTTTGTTCATTTATGTTCATTCGTTTATGTTCGTTTAGCATGTTCAAGAACATAAACGAACGAACATGAACAATGCAATTTATTAAACAAACGAACATGAACAAGAAAATCCGTTCGTTTATCCGTTTGTGTTCGTTCATTTGTTCGGTTAACTTAAACGAACGAATATGAATAAGCCTCGTTCGTGTTCGTTTGATTCGTTTACAGCCCTACATGTAACCCTAGTGCACCATGACCTTCCATATCCCTTAGGATCCATGGGTTAAAGCTCCATGGACTATCCATGAACTATTTAGCCCATCCTAATGGATCATTGGCCCACACTATAAGAATGATTGATTTACATAATCAACCCCAAATATTTAATTAGTCTCTTTTGACCACTAAATTAATTCCAAATTTATTCTTGATCAATACTAATTAAATAATATGATTTTTCAATTAATATATTATACTTTTAATATATTAATAAATCATTAATAACCTTATTCTCAAAAGTCCATCCTATCAAATTGCACTGGTGAAGGCAACCCAAAAGAACCATGCTACAATCGGGTCAAATACATTCGGATATAGTTATAGGCTTAGACACCAAATCCAACAGTCTCCCACTTGGATAAGTCTAATAACTATAACCGTCAATGTAACTTCAAGATCCGATTAGCAATCATAGCTTCCAAAAGCCGCTGTCGAACTCTGACCCAGTCAGTGACTGTCCTCAGATAAGTGATCATATATTCCTCTGTTCTTCAAGATATCAGCGGACAAATACATGGAACATAGTCATACTTATTGTCCTACAATTAGTTTCTCGATCTCCGATATGTTTGACATAGAACATAATTTAACACA